TCAAAAGGAGAGGATTGATGAGAGATGGGGCGATCAGTGCTACGCTAGACCCAGCCGAGAGTCCAGCCGTGATGAGAGATGGGGCGGTCAGGTCACTAAACCCCGTCGAAGGGACAGGCTTGATGAGAGATTGGGCGGTCAGTACTACGCTAGACCCAGCCGAAAGTCCAGCCTTGATGAGAGGTGGGGCGGTCAGAGCTAAACTATACCCAATAAAGGGAACAAGCTTGATGCGATATGGGGCGTTGGCCGCACAGTGCCCTTGGAGCTTTCCAGGCGCCTCGATGTATTGTGTTTACGGGCGCGTCAACGGCCAGGCTCATTAGTCCCAGTGGTGTGCTGCGTGGTTTTATCCCGGAGGGTGGCGGTGATCTTCCCCCGCTCGAGGGCGAAATCCGGCGCTGATCTACGCATCGGCTCGCCGGGGTTTCCCTAACCATGTATCCATCATCAGCGGGGCACACCCCGGATAAATCTCTAAGCTTCCGACATTTGTGGTAGTGTAATGCATGTAAGTGAGTGTGTGCGTGTGTGTGTAAGGATTGAGGATAAATAAAGGAATAGGAAGGAAATATCGCGGGTTCCATGGCCCATTAGGGGTACTGCTCTGGCATTCACCTGACGTTGAGTGGAAAACACCTCCAGACAGTGAGTGAATTGGACCTAGCTGTCTAGGAAGTGTCAAAAAGCCAGGCCCTCACAAAATCAGCCAGATAAGGGGTCAAGCAAACAATTAAGGTAGAACAGAGCATAATTAAAATTGGGAACATACTTAACTCGTTTATTCGTTCTTCCTACATTCGTAAACGTCTAAAACTCGTTGGGTCATAAACTTTTTCTTTAGCATCATCTCATTCATCGTTTGTTGGCACTCCCACTCTATTATTCACGGTTTCGTTCGTTCATCTATCATTCATTCGTTTATAGTTTCCTTTCATCATGCAATCGTTCGTTAGTTTGTTTCAACGTTCGTTCATTAGTTCTTTGACGTATTATTTATTCATTAGTCATCTTTTCATTCATTTATTCTCTCATTCAATTACATCGTTCATAAGCTCTACTTCGCCCATGTGATATGAGTTTACGCGCACGGCCAGCGCCGCAGACGGAAACCCGATGCGCGTGCGCAACGCCTTCCTCCGGCATCCGAGGGCGCCCTGTTTTACGACGGACCTCTTTCAGTCGCGCCGGCCGCCCGCCGCCGCCGGTTCGCCCCCTCCCCGGCCAGCCGCCCACGGCTGCCTCTCTAAATCCCG